CTTTCAAGGTTCTATGGCCGCAGATGTCAACACAAGAGCTCGAACCGTTTATGTACGGACATTTTGAGTCAAAGAGCAGCGTTCTTTGATTGGGTATGGCAAATTAGGTTCCAGATGGGTTGGGCAGGGCGGTATCTGACATTCATGCATGCAATGGCGGCGACTCCGGGTCATTGCCCCATTTCTGCGGCGAGCTTTGCAGGCCGAACGTCCACTCTCCGCCAGCGAGGATATCGTCCCACTTGAGCTTGGGCCTTGCGATCGCGTGGCCGTTGACGGTGAGGTTGGCTACGTAGACGTGATCGTCGTCGGACCCGGCCGCGTGGATGCGCAGCTTAGTGCCGTGCGCTGCGCCTGGCGCACGGGGCGGAATGTCGATCTCCATGTGCTCGAAGAACGGCGAAGACACGACGTACTCTCCCGACACGGGATTGACGGGGTAGAGGCCCATGGCGCTCCAGATGTACCACGCGCTCTGCTGACCGCAGTCTTCGTTGCCCGCATATCCGTCTGGAAGGTCGCTAAACGCCTCGTGCGAGATCTCGCGTACAAGCCGCTGCGTCTTATGCGCCTCGCCGAGCAGCGTGTAGAGGTAAGGAATGTGATGCGAAGGCTCGTTGGATTGATCGTTGTGGCCCTCGCTAAAGTGCCGGTCCAGCAACGCCGTCAGCTTGGCTCGACCGCCAACCAGCTCCGCGAGCCCTGGCACATCCTGCACGACGTCGAAAGAGTAGTCGAAGCTGTTCCCCTCGGTAAAGCCCTCCTGACGACCGCGCGGGTCCGGCAGCGGCTGCACGAGGAACGTGCCGTTCTTGAGACGCGCTGCCATAAGCCCCTGGTCGTGGTCGAAGACGTGGCGGTAGTTGCGGCTGCGATTGTGGAAGAAGCTCGCATCGGACTGCTTGTCCAGCACTTCGGCGAGGACTGCGATGGCATGGTCGTCGTAAGCGTAATCGAGCGTACGACTCGTCGACTCGGACCATCCATCCAAAGGCACGTAACCCGAGTGATTGTAAAAGCTCAAGCCAGCGCGTACCTCGAGCGGCGTATACTCCTCGCGGTCTTCGAAGCGCAACTCGATCTCTCGCTCGGGAGGCACAGTGCCGTCCTTGTAGACCGCCTGCCACGCTTCGTCCAGGTCAAAGCCGCGCACGCCCTTGACCACGGCTTCTGCGAGCAGCGAGTCTGCATGCGTGGCGATCATGATGTTGGTCTCTGCAAGCGTCGACCACATAGGCAGGAAGCCCGACTGGCGGTAGATGTCGAGCAGCGACCGCACCATGTCGACGATGCGCTCGGGCTCGAACAGAATGAGCAGATTCCACTGCGCACGGTAGATGTCCCAGATGGACCACGACTGGTAGCGCTGCACGCCAGCATCGACACGATGCACGCTGTCTGTGTAGCCAGAGTAGTAGTGGTAGCTGTGCTCGTGCTCGTGCCCGAACCGAAGCAGCGGAGCCGCCTCGCTACGGTTTGTCGGCTTGTGCGTGTCGGGAACGGGTTCTGCGTGTTCCGCGGGGTACTGGGACGCATGGAAGATGCCCGTGTACAGAATGCGCTTCTGCTCCTCTGTACCGCCCTGCACCTTGACGCGGTCTGTCTTGCTCTTCCACGCGTCGATGAGCTCGTCCACGACGTCTTCGAGCGCCGTCTCGTCCGGCATCTCGACGTCCAGATTGTATCGAGCCTGCTCCTCGGAGATGAGGCTGAGGCCAACGCGCACGCGGATCTTGGTGGTATCGGTGGGGAAGCGAACATAAGCGTAGACGCCGAGCTCGTTCCAGCGCGCTCGCTCGCCGGGATGCAGAGTGATGCCCGTGGCGTTGGAGTGCGCCGTACCCACACCATCAGCTGGGAAGCCGCGGACCCATTCGTCGGACGAAGCGCCGCCGCGCTGGTACTCGAAGCGATACACAAAGTAGCCGCGGAAGCCCGGTGCTTCGTGTGGGCCGAGGCGGTAGTCCATCCTCTCGGTGTTGTAGCCCGACACCTCGCCTTTGTGCACGTCGATCCGAACAGCCCCGCGCCACTGCTCGCGCGAGGCTTGGATGCCGATGTAGGGACCCCACTCCGAGTGATTGGCGCTCAGTTGGGCCAACATGCTCTCGTGTTCGCTGTGAGTTGCCGCAGGGCTTGCAGCAAGGCTGCTATTAAGGGCTGCAGAGTAAGTGTACTGCACCATGGCGGCCCGACTTTTGCCCGCCATCTCTGCAAAGATGCCGTCCTCAGCCAACGATGAGTTGGACATGGCGACGGCATACTTGAACGGCGACACGAATTCTTGCGACCGCTCGTACGAATGGCCTCGTTCATGCTTGCCGAGTCTGACCTCGCCATTGCCAGCGAAGAGGGTGGCGAAGCCGTAATCGCCCATCCAGATGGCGGGTTGTCGGCTGGCGAGGAATCCGATGTTGACCGTGTCGTTGTCGTGGTACGCACAGCCCGAGACGAGATTCTCGCGCGTCATGGGCACGGTTCGGACACCGGCAAAGGGCAGTGCGACCGAGGGCACCATGCCGCCGTATTCTGATGGGTCGGGACCATTGGTGCCGATTCGCGGGTCGACCCATTGCAAGGTACCAGCGCGGTGCTTATATCGAGCGGCTTCAACCTCTGACACCGAGTCTTCTGATGCATCGCAGAAAGGATAGCATGGTGGAGGGACGAAGTCGTGCGCCGAGGATGTGGTGGCCGTGCTACTGTCGTCCGCTGCGAAGGGTGTTTGGTGCGCCCGAACAGATGCCAAGGTGGCCGACAAGGCAGCGACTAGAGCGAGGAGCCGTAGCGCGGGAGCTTTCGTCCTGGTAGGGACGCGCATGATGCTCGACGCCGCTGTGTGTGCAACCCGATGGTGGTGGTGTGAAGGTGGAAGGAGGATGAAGAGGTTGTGGACGGTTGCGGTCGGTGCCTCTTCGGCGAATTTCAGGGTCCAAAGCACGGTCATCATCTCCTCCACATTCGAAAGCCGCGAGATCCTATTTTTTCTTTGGTGTCCATCGTGAAATCCTCTGCTTCTTTTGTGACTCCGATGCCGCACTACCTCGGTCGAATGGTGCAACGAACGGCGTAGAGCTGGCTCAGATAGACGATTTGACCATGCCGACAGCCACAGCGGCTGCGATGAACGACAGGAGGCATGCTGACGCCGACGAACGGTCTTCGCTCCTACCTACGCTGAACGACCATCGAGTCAAAGATGCAGGGCCTTCACGATGGACAAGGTGGACAAGCGTTCTCAAAGAACACGCCTGGACGCCATTACCGCACTTTGACTCGAGCGATGCGCTGCCAACATCTTACGTGGTGCCTCTGCTGCTGCAGTGCGTCATCACGGGGTTAGCGGACGCCTCGACTTTCTCGCTGACGGGGACCTGGGTGGGCTTTATGACGGGCAACATGGTGCAGATGGTGATCAACGCATTCGACTTTTGGCTACCCTCGTCGTCCAACGCCAGCAATGATCAGGATCGCGTTCGCACCAAGCTCATGTACAATCTGAGTGCGATCGGCGGCTTTATGTTGGGCTGCCAGGTCACCGCGCTCATCCTCAAGCGTTTCACCAGCGAGCGTTCCAAGCGCATGGCGCTCGTGGCCTTCTCGCTGTACCGATCCGTCATGACGTTTGGGCTGGTCATGTTTGGTGCGCAGCATTCGACGCTGCAGCTGCAGGGTCCGCTGGGATGGCTGGTGCATTCCATCCTCGCAGCGAGCATGGGGTGCCAGTCGACCTACTCGACCAGCCTCGCCACGCCTTTCTCCAACACGGTGGTGTTCACAGCCACGCTGACGGCCGTGTCGTCAGATCTGCATCTGCACAACCTGCGACTCGAGAAGGCCAAGCGCTTCAAGCTGCTCAGCATCGTCGGTCTGCTCTCGGGCGGCGCACTGTCGCAGGCGGTGCTCAAGCTCGCCACCAAGGCGTCCAGACGCAGCAAGCACGAGGCGGTGCAGCACGCCCTCATGCTGCTCTCGGCCATGGAGCTGCTGCTCGGCCTGAGCTGGTTCCTGTGCGGCATTGCGGCCAGCTCAAAGCAATACGCTCGTAGAAGAGCTGCACACCTGTCTTCCAGTTAGCCACGACATTAGACCACCAACACTGCTTAGACCATGTGTTCGGACTAGCGTGCGCCTGATACTAAGCGAGTGCCTGAGACGGACGAGGCTAGAAGACATCGATGCAGGAGGGTGGACTCATCCAAGCCGATCCGCCGTCCGGCGATCCTGCGAGATTTCCGAAGGTGGTCTTGGGTGAAAGGAGATCGCCGAACGGCACCAGCGCTCGTTCTCAGAGAGAGACCGGCCAATGCCGAGTTTGACGTTGCTGGAGTGCCTGTCGACCCCGCAATGGCACACAAGCATGCACTCATTCACAGCAACTTGTGAGCAGAGCACCGAGCTAGCCGAGCTCGCATCGGCGGCCGACTCGCGTATTGCTCCCACCATTTCGCTCTTCTTTGATGGCTTCCGGCCAACAAGGCACAGCAGCCCCTGACGCCGTTGCGCAGCACCGTCGACTGAAGCAGCGTATTTCGGCAGACCCTGTTTCGGCAATCTCGCATCGATGCGCTCAAGCTCTGTGTGATCAGCGTTTTGGCACCGGCAATCCCCATGCAGCCTGGATGGAGCCCCACAAAACATACATGCACGATGGCGCCCCGGCTGATCAGGCAGCGACTGCATCGGCACAGAGCCTTCCATCCAGAGCCTTCCATCCACGCGTGCTCCAGCCTCGAACGCATCGTGCACGGCCGCGCATCCGGCGGCCATTGCGGCCATCCTTGGTCTTGCAGGCGGCGCGTGGATGTATAAAGACTCCGATGACAGCGGCGCCTTCTTTGCCCTCCCCAAACTCCGCTTGGTTCTCCCCCGCATATTCCTGCAGCAACGGCCCGTCGCTCCTGCTTCCCTCCACTTGGCCATCCAGCTCCGCTGCCCCCCACTCGTTACTTTCTGACATCCATCTCGCGATCGCTCGTCAGTATAGCCAGGATGACGTTCAAGGCTGCCCTGCTTCCACTGGCGCTCCAGCTGCTTGCTTCGAGCGCAGCGCTTGCCAGCCCTATGCCTGCTAAGGCAGCAGCGATCGATTGCACCGAGCCCGCCAACAACGCAGCTTCAGCAAGTGGCGCCACCACGTCCTCCTCCGCTGCGGCTCCACAGCAGACTCCTGGCTTTGTCAACAACGGCACCATCGGCAGCTATGCCTGTCTGTACAGCTCGCAGTCGGAAGACGACCAACTCGTCCTCGGCGCAGCGTCGACAGTGCCCGGCACCCAGTGCCCAGACGCCCTGCCTCCGGTGTATCCAAACAACCACATTGAGCTGCGCGCTCCCGACGATTCGATCCGCGCCACCTTCCAGCCGTACGGCTCGGGCGTCACTGAGCTCTGGGTCAAGGACCGTTGGGGTGGCTGGCGAGACGTGGTGCTCGGCTACGACAACACCACCAACTGGGCCACCGATCCCATCCACCCCAACTTTGGGCCCATCGTCGGCAGGTATGCCAACCGCATCAAGAACGGTACCTTTGAGCTCAACGGCGAGACGTACAACATCCCCAAGAACGAGAACAACCTCGACTCGCTCCACGGCGGCAAGATCGGCTACGACCGCAGCGCGTACACGATCAAGAGTCTCAGCTCCAACGAGGTCGTGCTTGAGCATGTTGATCCCGATGGATTCCAGGGCTTCCCGGGCCAGGTCACGACGCACACGCGCTACACGCTGGGAGAGAATGCGACGTGGCATATCGAGCTGAATGCGACAGCGACCAAGCAGACGCCCATCCTGCTCTCATCGCACGTCTACTGGAACCTGGCGGCGTTCAACGAGTCGGCATCGATCCTGGACCATGTGCTGCACATGCCCTATGCGGACAAGTACGTCAAGACGGACACGATCCTCATCCCCACCGGCCCACTCCCGCCGGTGCAGGATACGCCGTACGACTTCCGCGAGCCTACGCCGTTCACCAAGAACTTCAACGACACGCTCGGCGTGTGCGGATACGAGTGCAAGGGCTGGGACTCGTGCTTCATCATGTCCGACCCGCCCGGATACGACACTGCCAAGCCCGTGGTGGAGATGTACAGCCCCAAGTCCGGCATCAAGCTCTCGGTGGCCACGAACCAGGCGGCCGTGCAGGTCTACACGTGTCCCGGCGTCAACAGCCCCGCCAAGGGCAGCATCCCGCGCAAGCAGGTGCACGGCGGCAAGGTGGGCGAGAACATCGGAGAGGTCATCTACGACAACTCTGAATGCGTCGTCCTCGAGATGGAGGACTACATCGATGCCATCAACCAGCCCGAGTGGGGTCGAAACCAGATCTACGGGCCCGACCGTCCGTACCACTGGAAGTCCACCTACACCTTCTCTACCGTCGACGAGAACGGCAACGCCATGTAGAGTCCAATAACAGTGCTGTGTTTGCATTTCCAGGCTGAGTGTGATCAGAGCTTTCCCTTGTCGGCTGCGAGCTGACGGCCAGAGACCAGGATACACGGCCCACCGTAGATGACACGCTCCTGGATCGACGCCGGTTGCGCTTGCACCCACTTGACCAGCTCGGCGTCCTCCGCACCTGGCTGTTGTGTCAATCACGAACGAAGAAGAGTTTGATCAGCTTTGTTGGATGCATCGAGAAGAAGAGATGATGAGGACGTACCTGGAGCCAGAATGTGGAGATGCCCTGATCTTGCAGGCCTGTCTGGACGACGGTGAGGCTGATCTTGGGTGGCGTGACGACCGAGATGGCGATCTTGTCCGCCGACGTACCCGCGGCGTCGAGGAAGCGCGCCACGTCGGGCTGCGACGCAAGGCCCTCGATTTCAGCCTCCTTCGGGTGGATGGGCGTCACGTCGAGCTCGTGCGCCTGGTACCACTTGAGCACCTTGTTGCCAAACTTGGTGGCATCCTTGCTTGCACCCACCACGGCGAACTTGGACGCATCGAAGAAGCGGTTGAGCGCGGACTGTACGTGTGCGTTGGCCATCTTGTTTTCGTTGCTCCGATTGCAGATGGTAGTGGGAGTGGAAGCAGCACGAGTCGCAGTGCAGGCCGAAGGGGAGTCCTTCTCGGCAATCCATTTCGAGCGCTGACACCATTTGGGCTGGCGCGTGCGTGCGAAGAGGGCGCATCGGGGCCCCGATTGGGTGCGGCGGGGCACGGACATCGAGCGCGACCCCCCAAAGAAGCTCGGAAGAAGGCCAAATCGCGGAGTGGCACCGGTGGATTTGTCGGCTTTCCAAGGGTCCGTGAAGGACTCTCTCTCTCTCTCTCCCAAGAAGTCACAACTCTATCTGCGCCTCCTCTCAAAGAGTCACGAAGCGCAGCAGTCTTCTCCACCCTTTCCCTCCAACCACCACATTCACACTCGCTCGAAAGACTCGCTAGACAAGATGGCCTCCTTCCTTACCCGCGGCAAGAAGATCGTAGCGTAAGTAAGCAAGCGAGGCGGATGCCGTGGTGGGTGATCTGCATGCTGATGAACATGCCTCATTTGCGTTGTGGGACAGGATCGGCCGCAACTATGCCGCACACGCCAAGGAGCTCAACAACGCGGTGCCTACCGAGCCGTTCTTCTTCCTCAAGCCCACCACGTCGTACATCGCCAACAACGGCACCGTCGAGATCCCCAAGGGCATCGTTGCGCACTACGAGGTGGAGCTGGGCGTGGTGATTGGTTCTGCACGCGTGCGCGACGTGAGTGCGGCCGAGGCGATGCAGCACGTGGCGGGCTACACGCTGTCGATCGACATGACGGCGCGCAATCTGCAGGACAAGGTCAAGTCCAAGGGACTGCCCTGGTCGTCGGCCAAGGGCTTTGACACCTTCACGCCCACGACGGGCTTCATCGACAAGTCGCGCGTGCGCGATCCGAGCCAGCTCAAGCTGTGGCTCAAGGTGAACGACGAGCTCAGGCAGAACGGTCCGACGAGCGACATGATCTTTGGCATCCCCGAGCTCATCGAGCACGTGTCGAGCATCATGACGCTCGAGGAGGGCGATCTCTTGCTCACCGGCACGCCGCAGGGCGTAGGCGAGGTCAAGCACGGCGACACCATGTACTGCGGCCTCGAGGACCAGTCGGGCAACCTGCTGGAGCAGCTCAAGATCAACGTCGCCAACCGCGTCGGCGGCTACGAGTTCAAGCTCTAGACGATCGCAATGCCAGTCTATCAAATGAAAAGCGGCTGCGAATTTTCCCTCAAGTTTGGATGGCGTGTGTGCTGATGAGGCGAGCTGCTACTAGACGTTCTTCTTGTTGGTGCCGTCTTTGAGGATGACGGCTCTCTTGAGCGCGCGCTTGTGGTTGTTGAGGGAGAAGAAAGCGATCCAGGCGGGGATGCCGAGAGCGGTGGTGGTGAGGGCCCAACGGAGGGTGACGAGGCGGCTGGCGCCCTTCCAGTAGCACACGAGGGCCATCAGGGCGCCCTCGAGCACGTGGGTGCGGACGATACCCGCGATGAACTTGTCCATCTTTGCCGGTCCGCCGAGCGTGTTGTTGCGCAGGTTGTTCCACTGTGCCAGCCTCGACTCGGGCACGAGCGACTGGACGATGCCGTGCGAAGCGAGCGTATCAGAGCGCAGGGCGAGGTACGCCACCGCGATGAGCGCCAGACCGTGCAGTGCGAGCTTTGGTGCGCGGTAGACGATGTCCGGCTGTACGATGCGATCAAAAGCGTTTAGCGCGCGAATCTAACGTAGTGGAGAAGAGCAAGTGGTGGGGTGGAGGACGGACGTACCTTGCGGGTGGTGATTACCCGTTCCGAGACGGCCGAGAGGTCGACGAGACGCTGACGGACCTCGGAGTAGCTGGCGATGTGTGGGTAGAAGGGGATGCTGACAGTGCGGTTGCCCGGCTTGCCCTTGCCCGGAGCAGCACCCTTCTGGGTGGTGTAGACGATCTCGAGGTGCTTCTTGTCGATGGCGGTCATCAGCACCTGGTTCGGCTTGAGCGGCTTCAGAAGATCGCCGTAGTGCGTCGCGAGATACGCCAGAGAGTCCTACCCGACAAGCATCAGCGAGGAAGATGGATTCAGTCGTCAGCGCTGTGAACCAAAGCTCAGCATGGAGGTGGAAGCGAGCGCGCGCTCACCTTGTGGTCATTGTTCATGTGCGAGATGATGCCGTCTGCCTTGGCAGCAACATCGTCGGAAGCAGCAGCGGAGGCCATTTTGTGTGATCAGTCGCGAAGAGGAGAAGGTGGTGATGGTGGTGGTGCAGCGTCAAGCAAGCGGATGCCACCGGTTGGAGTTGACAAGGTGACCACCGCCGCCTTCCGGTTCGGGCTTGGGTGGAGACCACAGCTTTGCGAGCTGCCCAAAAATGTTGTCGCTTTCGGCTCGAGAGAATGTGTGTGTGATGCAGCTGCGAAAGTGCGGGGTTCTGTGAGGATTCCTCTCCGCTCGTCCACCGCTGCCTCTCCACAAGACGGCCCGAGCGGCTGGGCTTGGTCGGTCCATTCCGCTTTCACGGCTCAGATTTCGAGCCGGAATCGTCGAGGCAGCGCGGAAGTTATTTGTTCGGCCAGTCCGATATTCGACCTTCGAGATCGCTATCTCCCGATACGAGGCAGACATTGGCGATGCGACGCGCGTGCGGAAATCGTGTGAGAGTGGGACTGACTGGCTCGGGTTGCCGCGGGTTTCGGAATTTGAGTCGCCGGAAGGTGCAGGAGGCGTGCATGAGTGTGCGGCGTGCCAGCGGTCGCCTGAGCCTCGATGCCTGCTCCACATCGGTGGGAAATCAGCTGAGATTTTGTCGATCTGCATTGGGTCCACATTGAAAATCACTCCGTCATAGGCGCTCGTCCCCAGAAATGCACCGGCAGCAGATCTATGCATGCGCCTGCTGGCCAGACAAGTAACTGTATCTCCGCTCACGAGGCCGCTCTCGTGGCCAAGTTAGTGTCGGTGTGTCACACTGAACAGTGTGCTTCTTGGTTTTCGAACGGCTTCCATCCGACCGGTATTCCGTGAGCCGTCCGCCCCTCTTTGCTGTCGACGTGTTGGCAGGTGTTCGAAAGTGTTGCCCGAAATATGCCTCTTCGGCTCTCGCGTAAGTTAATGCGCAGCAGCGGCCTCAGCCTCGTCAATTCCGAGCTAGTGGCTACGCTCCTCCTCACCCGCTCCAGTCCCGCAGAGGCCAGCATCCGCCTTGCACATTCACCTGCGCAGCTCGGCACGGTTCGATCTTTCCACCATACCACATCCATCACCCTTCCCTCTCTCGCAGCATTCACGCTCACACCCATCGCAAACATGGTTTCGTTCTACGAGCTCAAGGCTAAGAAACCCAGTCAGGAAGACTACAACTTCGACCAGCTCAAGGGCAAGGTCGTGCTCGTCGTCAACACCGCCTCCAAGTGCGGCTACACGCCCCAGTTTGCAGAGCTCGAGGAGCTCAACAAGAAGTACGCCGACCAGGGCCTCCAGATCCTCGGCTTCCCCTGCAACCAGTTTGCCGGCCAGGACCCCGAGAACGATGACAAGATCGGCGAGTTCTGCCAGCGCGTAAGTATACATGCCACGACGACCACGCCTCTTGGCAGACGGAGTCCTTGTTGACATTGCTTCACATTGAACCATGCACACACGCACACAGAACTACGGCGTCACCTTCCCCATGATGGCCAAGTCGGACGTCAACGGCAGCAACACCAACGAGGTGTTCCAGTTCCTCAAGAAGGAAAAGTCGGGCATCCTCGGCACAGAGATGATCAAGTGGAACTTCACCAAGTTCCTCGTGGACAAGAACGGCAAGGTCATCGAGCGCTACGGCTCCAACACCAAGCCATCCGCCATCGCTCCCACCATCGAGAAGCTGCTGGCCCAGTAATCGCAGCCTCCGCGGATCCACCTTTCGCGACAGTTTTGTTTGATACCTCACGCAATCCCAAGAAAGACTTGCTAATCCAGCGACTCCTCGCATGTCATCGCTCCGACACAGTCCAGCAGCCCTCGGCAAGTTTGGTAGAGATAGAGTTTTAGGCATTGCAAGCTCGACACGAGACGACATGATTGTTTGGAAACCTACAGCATAAGTGGACGGGATGGCAGGCGGAGAAGGAACACGATGACAAAAGAAGAGCAGCTACTGCTTACCCGAGTAGACGCTCTCGGTGTGCATGACGGCGACGATTTCGCGCATGCTTTCCTGGCTCGCGACCTGGACGGTCTGGATGGTGCTCTTGTTTGCAAACGCCGTGGTGGCGTGCAGGGCGAGTGCGACGATCCACAGACCGCAGATGCCCCACAGCGTGGCAGCTTGGCTGATGTCGAGTTCGAGCAGCGCCGTGCCATTCTTGGTGAATTCGGTCGTGCTCGTCACGATGGACGATCCCGCCATGTACGATGCGATTGCCGAGCAGATGGCCTCGATGAAGCTCACGATCTGGAAAAACTGGTCGCTGCCAAAGATCAGGTTGAAGGCCTGGGACGGGTTGAGGCCCATGGCTGCCACCGTGACCGCCGTGGATGGAGGTTTTGACTTGCCGGACTCGACGCTGCGGATCGAGGCGAGAGACGAGACGGCTACGGTCATGGAGAGCTTGTGTGCAGATGCGGTAGCTGCGAGACCGGTGAGCATGTTGAGCACGCCGCGCACGTACGTGGCATTGTCCACCGAGATCTTGGCAAAGCGCACGAGGATGAGCAGAACAATCACGCCAATCAGAGCAATGATGCCCTGCACATGCGATACGAACAGCGAGGCGCTGCTGGGCGCGGCCGACGTGTCATCCTGTACACCAGGCGTTGTGGATGGCGGCGCGGTCGTATCGTCCATGATCATAGCGACACTCCTTCGGCCTGCAGTAGCAGCTACCTCGTCGAGCGTCTTGCCCTTCTTTCCTCGTGCTCTCCGCCTGGTCGAAGCCGGCTCGACCACACTGGCGGCATGCAAGTCATCGTCGTCGCCCGAGCTCCCGGCTCCGGCTGAGTACGATGCCTGCGACGCAGCTGCTGCAGCTACAGCAAGGCTGTACTTTCCACGGCGAGTGGCTCCGAGAGACCGCCCGCGCGACGGGATCTTGCCGCTCTCGATGCGCGTGTACTTGCCATTGGCATCGCTGAACTTGGCCGGCTTGGAAGGCGACAATGTGAAGCTCGGCATGGCTGTCAAAGAGGCTGCTGACGTTTGATGGCGAGAGAGAGGATAGCAGTCTTGCTGCTGTACGGAATAGTAGACTAGGATGCGAAAAGGACAGTGGTTCAAAGGAATGTGTGTAAGAGAGTGACGAGGGAGCTGGTGGGGAAGAGACAAGATGGTTCGGACAGCAGCAAGGTTCATAGCACTCAATGCAGCATCCAGCACCCTCCTTGGCTGGCGAGGAGTGGGGCAGCACGGTGACTAGGGACAAGGTTTTGCCGGCACACCCCATGGAAGCAGCGATGAGGCCGGTCAGACACTGGTTTCCAGTCGCGGCTTGGGTTGAATAGCCTCGCAATCATGCAGGATGCTGCCGCTCATGGCTGCATGTATGACGGCTAGCGGCTATGCTGCCCTGAGCGGGAGCGGAAAGCTGTCGACGAGCGCAAGCGAGCTGCACACCAGCATGAATTGGGCTTCAGACCTGCCTGAAAAGGAAGGGTCATCGAGTGCGGTACTGCAGGCTCTCCTAGAGAATGGCTCAACACCACCGTCTGCTTCCGATCCCTGACAGCGACAGCGGAGAGAAAGGCTCTCTCCAACACGCCCCTGTCTTGTGCCTGAGAGACAATCCCACGCGGAGCTCTAAAATTCGCCGGCGTCCAGCTTTCGTCCTAAACGAGGATCTTCACACAACATTCGCGTTGCCGCCACTGTTCCTTTTTTGCACCGATTTTACGGTCCCAATTTTTGACTGCAACATTTTCAAAACGATTTTCTATCTGAGCGTTGTAAAACGGCGATCAAGCCTCTACCCAGTCGGCGGGGAGGGCGCACATGGCGATGCCGCGCTCTTCGTAGGCGCCCGTGACGTAGAGCATCTTCTTGTGGATATCGATGGCCAATCCGGTGGGCACGGTGGGGAGGAAGCCGCGCTTGACAAGCTCGTCTTCGGTGCGCGCCTCGATCTCGGCCTTGGTCTCGGAGGGGCTCTTGAACACGTTGAAGGTGTGGAACTCCTTGCGGAGCCAGACGCCCTTTTGCTTCTTGAGCGCGAGCTTGTCCGTCTGCCACGGATGCGCGACCACGCTGCCAAAGTGGCGGAACACCCATGTGGTCTGGTCGATCCTCGCTGCCGGTCGGGGCGGACGGTCGGAACTTGACAGCGACTGGCTCGCGCCAGCAGCAAGAGGCAACCCGAGTCGACGGCGTCGTTCGTTGCGCTGCGCTGCAATCCACCTCTCGACCGAGCGCGTGTTCGGGTTGCCCGCCGTCCAGGTTCGACCGTGCGGATCGACGACGAGAGCGCGCACGGGCGTCTCGTGATCCATGGAGAAAAAGTTGACAAACGAAGGTGTGTAGGTCTTGAACAGCTGAAGGATGTTGTTCACCTTGCCCTCGGGGGTGGTCTCGCTAAGGTGGACGCGGTGTTCGCGAATGCCGCCTGCGACGCCGCGCACCCAGTGCTGCTCCCACTCCTGCACCCTCGCCGCATCCGAGGTGAGCGAGGGCACGAAGAGCGCCGTGGCCGACGAGTTGGAGCCCGTCTTCTTTCCACCACCGTCCCACGCCTGGATGAGCGGCGGGAAACCTTGCCACAGATCGGGATCGCCACCGTCCATACGCACGGCGAGTGTCTTGTTGATCGACGAGTGGTGCAGGAAGATCTTGCGCGACACCGTGTCGGCTGAGAGCGAGTACTGCGAGAACAGAGTCGATGCGATGGGCTGCCACATTGCCGAAAATACAGACGAGCGCTCTACAGCCGCAGCGGGTGTGGGTTGGGCAGCACGGTCGGGCAGCGAGGTGATGAAGAAGCTCGGGATGCGGATGTGCTTGAATGCGATTCTGGCGGGGTCATCGTCTTGGAAGCCAGCCAGATGCTCCGGATCCTCTTTGACGTATGTCGGTTCAGGGTAATGGCGATCCATGCGCTGCGAGTACTGTTCCTCGAACACAGTGATGCGGAAAGGATCGACATTGAAGTGGGTGTCCCAGTCGAGCTGCATTCCGCTCAGTTCGTCTCCTTGCACGCGCTTGATCCATCGCAGCGTCGTGTGGTCCTTACCACCGACCTTGTCGAGGTCGTGCACAAAGATGTCCACCACGCCCGGACGGTCGGCGTACGGCTTGTTGGCCACAAGCACGAGGTTGGCCGGTGGCTCCGGCCTGGGCTCCTCGCCCTCGTCGGCTTCCTCGGCAAAGTAGGGGTGCGATGGGGTTACAGCGATGCCGAGCGGATGGAACGTGGACTGAAGGTCAGCCGGAGCCTGGATGGGATACTCCGGCGGCGGCGAGGAGATGAAAAGCTTGCGGGGGAGACTGCGCCTGTTTGTATCCCAAGCCCAGATGCCTGGTGTCCCTTGCTCCGAGGCCAGGCGATCGCTTCCGTCCTCGTAGATGCCTGCGCGCGCATCCCACGTGAGTCGAGTCGGGTCGCAGCTCAGGTAGGCCACGCCTGTGCGACGATCGAGCACGATGTCTTCGCAGAACGACGGCTCGACCGGACCTGCGGGTTCGTTGGGCAGCCGTGTTGAGACGGGCTGGCAATGCTCGAGGTTGAGCCGGTAGTTGTCGGAGCCTAAACTGCTGGCATCGAGTGCGTCGCCGTGGAGCTTGAGGTGGTTCTTGTAGGGAAAGTACGACGTGACGGACAGCAGGCCTGCAGCCACCGACGACACAATGAGCGGCACAAGCATGTTGGCTGTCCGAGCTCGCTGAGCTAGTAGGCCCCGTCGTTTGACCTCTGCGGCGGTTGAGGATAGAGGTGGGAAGCAAAGGCTCGAGCAGGTTAGCCGCGCAGCTCTCGAGAGGTGAAATCGCGTGGGGCCCTCGTGCTTGACCGGCGGACCGTCCAATCGCTGTGCAGCCTTGGCTATCTGTGGCAAGCAGGGAGGGAAGCGTGGTGACTGGACCCCAGGGCATGCAGCCCTGCCCAACTTGCCGTCGGCACGACCAACTTGCTCGAGCTGCTGGGAGCCCTGCCGCGGCCAAAGCTTTATTTAAATCCCGACTGCACATCGTCGGAAGACGCTCAACCGTGCGCGAACGCGGCGCCACCAACGCCGTTTTGCAGAACCTGAGGGATGTGAGATCGCGGCTTCGTTCGAGCAAGATGAGAGATTCCGATAAGATAGCCGGAGGGCAGCAGACAGCGGAGAAATTGTCGGCCAATAACGAGCTGCGAAAAATCTCGAGGCGAGAAGCAAAGGATCGCGGATGCGAAGTTCTCCCGAACGACATCATCATCGTCATCGTCATCTTCTTCGTCTTCTTCACCATCGCATTCACCTCACCGTTTGGCCGTCTCGACATGACTGCACCGATCAATCAGAGCGGTCTCGAAGCGCTGCTTGACTCCTCGCGCATCGGCGTCCTGGACGGAGGACTGGCCACCTATCTCGAAGATGGACTCAACTTTGACCTCTCCAAAGGACCACTGTGGAGCGCACGACTGCTCGACGAAAAGGAGGAGGACGTCAGCAACGGCAAGGGACAAAAGGGCATCTTCGATGCGCATCTCCACTACCTGCAAGCGGGTGCGGGTATCATCGGTACTTCGACTTATCAGGCGTCGCTGGAATCGTTTGAGCGCGCCCAGTACGACCAGGAGTCGGCATCGCGCATCATGTCTAAAGCAGTTGACCTGGCGTGCGAAGCCGTCAACACTTACAACAGCGGCAGCAATGCTGTCCGTCCCTTGATCAGTCTCAGCCTTGGGCCCTACGGTGCCATGCTCAGCAACGGCGCGGAATATACCGGCGACTATCGACGCACGTTCCTCGCGGAATCGGACCCGCAGCGCGAGCAACAACCGTCGATCGAAGAGATGGCAGCATTCCACCAGCGAAGGATCCAGGCGTTCGTGGCGCAGCCTAGCTGGAAGGACGTTGGTGTGCTGGCGGTGGAGACGGTGCCACGAGCAGACGAAGCACTCGCTTTCCGTATCGCGCTCGAAAACGTGGTAAAGAGCCACGCCCAACGAGGCATCGCGCTGGAGAAGAAGCCCGTTTATATCAGTTTAGCGTTCCCGGACGATCGACGCCTGCCCTGGCCGCCTCTGAACACCGGAAACAACAACGACGAGACGGACGGTGACGTTGACATGGATGAAGACGACGACGAGGATGCTGCGGACCAAGACGGCGCGGTGCAGGAGGAGATGGACTGGCTCGTGCAGATTGTCAGCGACACTGTCGTACAGGGTCAAGAGTCGCAGTGGCCGATCTCGGGCATCGGCATCAACTGCACCAAGCCGTACCTGCTTCCCAGGCTGGTCGAGCGTATGTCGGCATCGCTCGCGACGCTCAACCGTTCGGCGAGCGAGGGCGGATGCGATCTGGAGCGCAAGAGGAGCGCGCTGGGCATGCAGAAGCCGCTGCTGTTCCTGTACCCCGACGGCGGGCTCGTTTACGACCCAGTCCGAAAAGTTTGGCTCACACCCTCCACCGCAGGACCGTACGGAGGCGACAACTCGGCCGCATCGTGGGCTGCCAACCTAATGAAGCTCGCCAAGCGCATCACGTCGAGCGGCGATGCGAGCTTCCCAGACGTGTGGAGCGGCGTCTTTGTCGGCGGCTGCTGCAAGAGCGGAACGGACGAGATCAGGGCGCTCTGCCAGTGCAGATCGCTCTGACGCATCGTCGCAATTCAATCGGCTGCTATAGATATCGTCTCCGGATCATGCCCGATGCCCGATTGACTGCCGGTGAGAGAGAGTGCTGAAAGCGGCAATGCCGGGAACTTGCTGTTGAGAAGGAATGGAAGCTTGCTCGAAGGTGACGGGACCCAGATTTCGGCTGAAGGAGATGTTGAAGGGGAGATACGACGTAGCCCAGTTGACAGACCGACGGTCGGAAAGTCATGAGCATGACGAGCCTCGAAGATCACCTGCGGGACGTGAGACGCGAGGAAACGAGGCTGCGGTGCGGAGTCGGCGGACCCTTGCGTCGCTCGCTTAGGCGCGTCGTAGATCCCACCCTCAAAAGAACGCTTTCTTTCAAGCAAACACACGCGCACGGCCAGAGCCGCAGATGCAGTAGCGTGGTTTGAGGCGGGCGCGCGCGTGGCGTGAAACGCGGCGAGGCGATTGCGGAACGCTCCCGGCATGCTCGGTGGAGCCGCCTGTCGGCTTACGCCCCTTACGAGCGCCAGTAGGGATGCGCCAGTGGGGGTGGATGCCTTCGCCCGGGGTGACCGTTGACACCTTGCAGCCCTGCCGTGTCGCATCCCCTTGACTCCCTGCCCCTCGACCCGCGCATCTCGTCGATCTGCAGCACCGCAAACACACGCAATCACACGTTGCATAAAAACGCACCTTCCATACCCGTCCCTGCATCGTTTCCCTTTGCCAGGTTCGCCGTACCCGTAGATCGCTGTCAACCCAACATCGGCAGTCGACCTTTCGAGGCCTCGACGGGGCGGCTACAACGGCAATACCGTAAACATCGAGTTGAGTTGACTCGTCGAGGGCAGAGTTCGGGTCTACGAATCTTTCGGCGCTGGAAGGGCGAGACGAGGGGCGGAAAGCGCAGAGGCGTGCGACACGCGTCAATTTCAACTCCGCGACAGATCTGCAAAGTCCCGCTCCCGCTGTCGCGCTTCCCACTGCGCACCGCTCTGCTTCACTGTGGTTGCGCTACAGCAGGCAACCATTGAAACCTCGTTTGCTCCGAGACTCACAGCCGTGGTGCGATGGTCGAGTAACAATGAAAGGGAAGCTCTTTGTATGACGATTTGACCCGCTCGCACCGCCTTCTGGCGCCAAAAAAGAGGGAGAAAGCGCCGCCCAACACCGGAGCCCAAGCACCGCGAATCTTGGCACCGCTCCTTGGCGCCCCTGACCTCAACCTCGTCCTCCTGAGCCCCGTCGCCAAGGCGAGCACGTCGCGACGTGCTCGTCATCAGCGGGATCGAAGCTCCGGGATTCCGGGTGCTCCTTTCCGCTTCCCGCAAGTCCAAGTCCACGCCCTCCGGATGGTTGGTGGGGGCGCACACCTCGTCAACAACGTCTGTGGCCACGGTCGTCAGAGGCGACCGGCCCTCGAGGCGTGAGATTGGCCGCCGAGGCGTGGAGTTGACTGCAGAAGGTACAGTGAGCTATGCTACGGTACACAAGTTGTGGGAAAGCTCCATTGTGGCAGCCACATCGGCTCTTGATACCCACACATGTGAAGTGGGCTTCAAGCCAGGCCCCACTCGACGCCGCACAAGGGGACCAGACTCTTCGCAGGCCCATTGTTTCAAGAAATTGAAAAGGACTGCGCGGTACATACCCAGCAATGCTTCTTCTGTAGAACATACGACACTCGTCCCGGCGGTCCTGCTTTCTGGGCCTCGCTTGTGCTTCCAGATACGCCAAGATCCGTGCCCAGCACCCGAAGACGTCGCACTTCCGCTTCTCATCTCATCCGAGCACGCACCTGCACACCCACGTACTCACTCCCGGCTCATTTGTTTAGAACACGCCCACCGGACCTCGTGCTTGAGCCCCAATAACCCCACATACTCATCCCATCCGATTGCTTGTCATGCGAGATCCCGCTGCCTCAAGCCACCGTCGCCGCCCTGCGATGGCGGGATCATGTGGGCGTTCCGAGGCCCGCATCCCTTGGCTGAGATTTGCCTCCCCCCCC